TCGAACCCCCGCCGGGGGGACCCTGCAAACCCCACTGGCCGCAGCAGCTGCCGCCTTTCCCCGGCTTTGCGGAGCGACCGTCCCGGCGCCCGGTGGCCAGATGCCCCTTTCGCCAAGAGCGGCAGGCCTGGTGCCCACGTGCTTGTCTAGAAGCCCGCAGGGCCCCTCGAAGTCAGATGCCCGGTGGCCCTGACAGGGCCCGGCCTGCGCCTGGGCCTGCGCTGAGCCCCTTGGCTTTGGCCTCTCCGGGGGCACAGAAATAACAAAGAGACGCAGAAGTCGGATGGATGTTCTAAGCCAGGCGGAGAGTTGCCAGGCGCTGGGCCAACTCTGCCACAGATTGTGCTGTGCCCTGCACTAGAGGGCGCCCCTCCCTCGCCAGGATTGCTGGGGAGGGGGGGGACCCTGGGAATTGAGATGCCCCTGGGTTTCACAATGAGCCTTTGAGGAGGCAAATGCCCAGCGAAGCAGAGCTGGGAGGGGAATGGGAAGGAGTCAGTATCCCTGCACAAATTAATTGCCTTGGGGTGCGCAGTATACAAGCTGGAAGTTACTGCCTGGTGCTTCCAGGGGATTTAAAGCCTCTGCCTGCCCAAAGGCCGTGTAGGAGAGCCCCACAACCCAACAGGGAGAGGGAGGGAATTAAAGTCACAGACGAAGCATAGCTCCTCCAGGAAAGAAAGAGTAAAACAAGGCAAGGAACAGCCTGAATTTCGGGATACAGATCCCACTCTCGCTGTGGTCGGGTCAGCAGATGTGGCTGACCCTGGAGCCTCTCCCCCCCGCGCTGCTGGGACCCATCTGTCTAGGGATCAGTTAGGCACAATCACGGCCATGGGTTTAAAGACCTGCTGCGTTCAGCACCAGAGGTGGCCGCATTTCAAGAGCAGGCAAGTAAATGGGGAGGGTTGTTTATGGGGCAGAAGCTGGCTGGCCACGTTTACGTGACTGCTAAGGGAAAACTGATTTGGAAGCCTGGGGGTTTGAGGTTATAAAGGGATTGAGGCCATAGAGCTGAGGTGAGTCTTGCTGTGAGCTCACCAGGCCGAGCGGAGCTGCTGGCTCCTCGTGGAAAGTAGCACAAGCCCAGAGCGCTCCTCCGATAACAGGGTTTTGCTTGGTAGTGCCTGCGAGCCCTACAGCCTGAGAGTGAATGGAAGTTCCTGCCACAGCTGAGAAGCAGCCAGAGAGCCGGCATGCCTCCCTGCTGCCCCTTGACGCGCTAGCGGTGCCAGGACAGTGTCAAAACAGGAATTTCTGCTGCTTCGGAATTTAATTTTATCGCCCCTCGTAGCCTAACCTGGCCATGACAGTTTGCCAGCCTGCTATTTCTGGCCACACTTCCAACGCGATGCGGTAGCTCACGGGCGGGGGGACGGACGGACGGACGTGGTGGCGGGTGCTTAGAATGGACAGAGCTGGTCGGGAGCCAGTCTAGGGCAGAAGTTGAGACCCCCGGGCTACAACAGGAAGATGGCGAGACAGGACGCCTGGGTCCTGGTCCCGGCTTTGGGAGGGAGGACAAACTGGAGCCTGGTAGCGCGGGCTGGAAGACAGGACTTGGGGCTCTGCTCCTGCCATGCTACATGAGCTCAGGGGAAGTCCTTTAACTGCTTGGAGCCTCAGTTTCCCCAGCTGTGGAATGGATTTAGGGCCATGCAGCAAGTTCCCAAACCTTTTGAGTTCTCCAGCTGTAGCAAAGGTCAAAGGCATATTTATGAGTCGTACTAACACCCCAGGGAACGTATCGGACAGTGGA